AGAGAGAGAGAGAGAGAGAGAGAGAGAGAGAGAGAGAGAGAGAGAGAGAGAGAGGGGCGATACAAGATTGTTGTGCGGTCCAAGGAAGAAGGTGCCGGCCATAGACGCCGAGCTCGGAAACGGAGTGAACGAAGAAGAAAGAAGACAGTGAAGGAGGAGGGAGAGACGAAGGAGAGAGAAGCCATAGCCGGGGTGAAGGAAGAAGAAAGGAGAGAGAAAGAAGGAAGTGAAGGTTGGGGAGAGAAAGGGGTCGGCAGCCATAGCCGAGTCGAGGGTTGACCAAGGCGTTGACCGAGGGGTTGACCAGCGTTGACCAAGACTTTGACGTAGGAGTTGACCAGGGAGTTGACTTGCATTGACCAAGGCATTGCCCAACGAGTTGACCAAGGCATTGCCCGACGAGTTGACCAAGAGCTGACCAGCGTTGACCGGGGCTGTTGACCACGAAATTGACCAAGCTGGAGTTGGTATACTCTCGCCAAGCCTTCAGCCTAGCCCCTCGCCCTATGGATGTGCACTCACCCCGTGGTACTCGCTGAGTCTGTCTCTCTTCTTTTTGTATTGAGTCTCTTTTGTCCAGGTGATAGGAACTCCGTGCATGAGGTCATAGAGCTGCGTTGATGAAACCCACACGGGCTGATTAGGGCTAAAGGCCATGTCTGACAACTGACTAACCCGGAGGACAAACCCTCCCAAGGACCGGTACAGACTGGCGGGCTGCTCAGTGTGGCATGGTAGACCCAAAATCCGAGTTGTGGGCTGCACAACCAGCTGTCTAAGTGTTGAGAGAGCTCTACTGCTCGTGTCGTTCTGACTGCGACGTTAAAGAATTCCCGAGGAGTTATGGGGAATCTCCTTAAATGCCTCCTGATCAGCAGTAGAGCTCTGTTGTGACAGCCTTAGAGTAGGTCAAGGCTAGTGACCCTAGTTGGCAGGGTCCTGATCCGGAGAGAAAGCCAAGTGGGATTGACCGCAGGTGCAGGGCATCTGGGTCTGGTTTGTAAAGGACAGTGGTGGCGAAAGCTTTCCGTCAACCGTGGTAACTTGGCTGGATCGAAGGGTAAGACTTTGTGGTCCTAAGAGTGTCAGTCAGTCAGTTAAGTCACTAAGGGGGTGGAAGTCTAAGTGGTGAGGAGTGGAACTGTCACTCGGTTGTATATCTGACACCATGGTTGTCCTGCGCAGCGGTAAGAGCACCACCCCGTACACCAAAGAGCAAGAAGAGAAAGTCGCCGCCATCCTGAGAGAGAAGAAGGAGAAGATGGAGAACGGGGAGCTTATTAAACAGGCAAAGATGCTGGCCATGATGGAGGAGCAAAAGGCCAAGCAGAAGCAAATGGAGGAGTTTCAAAAGTGGAAAAAGGAACACGAGGAGAAATTGGCAGCAATAGAGTCAGAGACAGAAGAAGAAGTAGAGGTACCACTGGAAAGGAGAGGAAGAACAGAAGAGAGAGGGGAATCCAGTGGAGCGCGGGAGACAGAAGCCCAGATGGAGGCAGACGCTAAGATGGAGAGGTTGGTGAACGAGTGGGTAGCCAAATTGGCCTTGGGGGAGGAGGACGAAGCATTGTTGTTTGCCCCTCAGGCAGAGTGGGAACAGTTTGCTAGGGAATTGGAGGGTGAAGAGAATCCCATGAAGCGACAGGCGATGGAGGAGGATAAAAAGTTAGAGTGGAAACTCCACCTTGCCCGCAAGAGGAAAAGAAGATTGGAGGCGGCCGAGAAAGTGGAGGAGGATTCGAGGGCAGCGGAAGTAGAACATGGGAAGTTGGCAGCGCAAATCGATCTCCAAAGGAAGGTGGAGATCCTATCACAGAGTGTAGAGGTAATGCTGAAGGCGCAGCAAGAACAGTTGCGCTATTTAAAGGGCCACTCTATTACGCTGCAATCTATGCGCACCGGTTTTAAAGATTTTGCAAAGGATATGATGATGTATGTAGGCACCGAATCACACACAATTATGGAGCAGAAGTTTTGCATGGGCGCCATTGAAGGTGCCAAGAATAGTGGGCCCCAAAGAAGAAGAGGCCCGGCCACGTAGAAAGCGCGTAAAGGTCAAGTTTCCTGATCACTATAGTGGGAAAGCTGGAGAGGATTTTGACAACTGGGAGGCGAATGTGAACTCCTATGTGCATCTTCAGAATATTGCGCCCGAGGACCAGGTCCTTGTCGCCTTTCATGGCCTTAAAGATGAAGCAACCAATTTTGCCAGATCGTTAGCCCTCGCTGCCAAATGCGAAAACGATATGGTCACATACTCCATCCTTACCCCCCTCAGTGAATTCCTCAGCGCCCTGCGAGAGCGTTTCACAGATGTCACTAGGGGCCTCAGGGCTTCTGACAAGTTGCAAACTGTCCACACGAGACAGTGGAAGAGTGCTAGGGCGATGAAGACCGCCATGGATGAGCTTGTTGCCGTTCCTGGCCATGGGGTCATTGAGCCCCAACTGGTCCAATTATTTTACCGCACTATGCCCGAGAAGTTGCATGGGCATTTCTTTGATAGAAAGCAGCAACCCAACATGACGTATGATACGCTAAGTAGGGAGGTTGTTGCCTTCGAGGCTCGGTCCATGCCAGTTACCACTTTCTGGCATAAGGACCTCGCCAAAGGGAAAAAGTGGAAAGGCCACACCATCACCAGTCAGGTCAAGGCTAAAGATAGCCTTATTCTTACATTAGATGAGGGTGGTCTAGAAGAGGTCCCGTATAGTGAGCTTGAGCGGGGCCTTGATGAGGAAGATAGCGGCACTGGCCAAGGGAGGACCTATGCTGCTGTCGCGGTCGGAGGGAGCCGCAAGGGAAAGGAAGGGGCCAAGGCCAAAGGGGCCAGGCCTCTGGTGGTCGAGGGCAAAGCGGCCAGGGGGTTGGCGAGAGGGGAAACCGCCAAGCAGGAGGACGGGGTCAAGGTCCCCCGTCAAACCGTCGTCGCTCTAGTCGGTCACCTCCCACGTCGGGTGGATGGCACCTTGGTCGGCCTGAGGGTCGGCCCCGGGAATCAGTGGGCTTCGAACAAACAGTGCGGCAGAGGCGAATAGACCAGGATCAATGCATCTATTGCGGTGATCCTGGGCACATCATACAATATTGCCCTAAATATAAAGAAGTCTGGTTTGCTGCACAGGCAGCAAAAGGCAACCGCCGGTAGGGGTTGCAACTGCCCCTACCCCTAGACCATGTGGAGAAGAGAGACACCACAAAGAAACTCCCAAAACAGATGTGTCTACGACAGAGGTTGCTGGCCAATGCCTAGACAGCTCTGTCCAGAGACTGCTTGTGTTAGAGTCTCTCTAGGCAGTTCCCTCACAGGCGTGGCAGAAGAGTTGAAGGAAAGAATGCCTGTCTGGGCCAAATGAAGAAAGATGCGAAAGGACAACTAGTTTTGGTAGATGTAGAGATTTTCAAAGGTAGAGTAGGGGCCCTTATAGATAGTGGGGCCACCCGCAGCTATATTAGCAAGAAGGCTCTACAGAAGCTGAAGCTTAATTTGAAAGTCCAAAAGTTAGTTGACCCTATAGTTAGCATCCTCGCAGACAATCGCACTACGCGAATCGAAGACTATGTCGAGGGAGTCCAGGCGTACTTTCGCCTAGAGACGAATGGGAAGGTAGAGAAAGTCCTTCATTCCTTGACTCTCCTCGTAGAAGACAGTCTCCAATTCGACATAGTTTTGGGAATGGATTGGGGAGAGGCAGCAGGGGCCACACTCCATTTAAGAGAGCATCAGTGTAGGCTCCCTAGTCCATCAGGCGAAGAGAAGACAACCCACTTGTTCCATGTGTCAGGAGTAGATAATTCTCTGGCACATTGCTGCCTCAGTGCTCCCGCGTTCACGCGATTAGTGAAGGAGCAATTAGAGGAACAGGTCTTTGTAGCCTATGTATGGCCTGTTACTGAGCCTAAGGAAGAGGAACCCACTAACCCAACTATTGTCAAGTTGTTGGAGGAGTACGCAGACTTGTCTGAGCCGCCTATAGGTGTAGTGTTGCAGCCAATCCAACATCGCATCGAGATAGAGCCTGGCAGTAGGACTCTTAAGGGGGCCGTCTATAGAATGTCCCCACGAGAGTTAGAAGAGCTACACAAGCAGCTAGACGAGCCCCTCGAAAAGGGTTGGATTGGGCTCAGGTCATCTCCATTTGGAGCACCTGTTCTTTTTGCCCTCAAAAAGGAGGGAGAGCTTCGTGTGTGTATTGACTATAGAGGTCTTAACACCATCACAGTGAAGAATGAAGAACCACTGCCCCGTATAGATAATCTGCTAGATCGTGTGCAGGGCTTCAAATACTTTTCAAAGATAGACTTGAAGTCAGGCTATCATCAGATACAGGTCTATCCTGATGATCAGCAGAAGACGGTGTTTAGAACTAGATACGCGCACTACGAGTTTATAGGAATGCCTTTTGGACTAACCAATGCCCCAACTACCTTTCAACGCTGTATGAATGATTTATTTAGGCCTTCTTTAGATAGGTTCGTAGTCGTATATCTAGATGATATTTTAGTCTTTAGTAAGACCCTCCACGAGTATGAGGGCCATCTGAGGCAGGTCTTGGAGAAGTTGAGGGAAGATAACTTCAAGATCAACGCGAAGAAGTGCGAGTGGGCCAAGACGCAAGTCCTGTACTTGGGCCACGCCTTAGATGGAGATGGCATAAAGCCTGAGGACAGTAAAATCGCAGCAATTAGAGACTGGCTGACTCCCCACACGCTGACAGAGTTGCGGTCGTTCCTAGGGTTGGAAAATTACTTTAGAAAGTTCGTTAGGAACTTTTCTACCGTCGCTACACCCCTTCGTAGATTGCTAAAGAAAGAGGCGATATGGAAGTGGGACAAAGATTGTACATCAGCCCTGAAGAAGTTGAAGCGGGCTTTGATAGAGTACATAATCCTCAAGGTAGCCGATCTATCCCTTCCTTTCGTTGTTACTACTGACGCCAATCAGTACGACATAGGCACTGTTTTACAACAAGACGATGGCAATGGGTATAGACCCGTAGAGTTCATGTCTGCTAGGATGCCTTCAGAGAAGGTAGCAACATCAACCTATGAGAGGGAACTCTACACTCTCAGGCAAGCATTAGACCACTGGAAGCACTACTTGCTTGGGAGGCACTTCAAAGTGTATTCAGACCACGAGACGCTGAGGTGGTTGAAGACACAAGCCAAGATGACACCTAAGCTTACTAGGTGGGCCGCATAAATAGACCAGTTCGACTTTGAGCTCAAGCCTGTAAATGGAAAATAGAATGTAGTAGTGGACCCTCTAGTACACTATCTGCAGCAAAAAGTTAAAGAGGCATATGAACAGGACCCTATCTATAGTGACCTCCTCAAGAGAGTGAAGGAGGCCCCAAGGACAGAACCAGATTACCGCACTACCGATGGGTTACTATTCGAGAAGACTAACGTAGCTGACCGTCTGTGCGTCCCCAACAACGAGGAAATCCGTAGTTTGATCCTAGGGGAATGTCACGACACAGAGGGACACTTCGGTTGGCAGAAGACATTAGCCAACCTTATGCATGCGTATACGTGGCCTGGTATGAAGGCTGACTGCATAGAGTATGTACGCAGTTGTAAGGTGTGCCAGCGAAATAAGACCACTACGCGAGACCCTCTTGGTCTTCTCAGACCCCTGCCTATTCCCGATGGGCCCGAAGATTCTGTGTCCATCAACTTTATGGATGCAGGAGTCAAGAGTAGGCATGGCAAGAGCCAAGCCATGGTTATAGTGGATAGATTTAGCAAGTATGCAGTTTTTGTTCCCTTGTCTTCAGAGGCACGTACAAATTTAGTAATACAAAAGTTCTTCGACCATTGGGTCAGTGATCACGGGTTACCGTTGTCTATAGTTAGTGATAGAGATAACCAGTTCACTAGTCAAAACTGGCAGGAGTTGATGAGAGTCTATGGCTCTAGATTATTGATGTCATCTGATCGTCATCTAGAGACTAACGGTCAGACTGAACAGATGAAAACGATCCTGCAGCAAGTTCTGAGAATGTATATTAGACCTGATCAAGTCAATTGGGATGAGATGCTCCCAAAGGTAGCCAGCGCATACAACAATAGCAAGCATAGAGCAACCTGCCGCACTCTGCATAGAGCGACATGCCGCACTCCCAACGAGTTACACAAGTCCTTTAGGCCGCGTAGACCGTTTGAAGGACTGAACCGGGATCAGATCCGGAGGCTACCGCCCGGTACTAGGGAGTTCGCAATACAGCATGAGAAAGAGATAGCTACCGTTGTAGACAACCTCAGGAAAGCCCAGCATAAGATGATAGAACAGGCCAATAAGCACCGTCGCCCGTCACAGTTTCAGGTAGGCGACTTAGTCTTGGTCAAGTCAAAAGAGTTTGTTCTTGAGGAGAACATCTCACAAAAATTGTTGCCTGCTTACAGAGGACCGTGGCCAGTTCTAGAAGTTAAGGGCGGAGAGGATGGACCGTCCTACACAATAGAGATTCCAGTGCACCTCCACACCTACCCAGTTTTTCATGCCTCAAAGTTGTTGCCTTGCACCACAAGTCAACAGTTTCCATCACGAAGATCCATGATCCCTCCGGACATGGATGGAAGGTACGACATTGACGGCATAGTAGATGAAGATGTCTTCAAAACGGGAGGTAGAGGTCGTCCGCAGAAACAATATAAAGTTAGATTCTCTTTTCAGGAACCCGAGGATGACCGCCGGTTCACACGAACAGAACTTCTAGAGGCTGCTCCCGATATAGTTCGAGCCTATGAGAGAGATAGGAAAGGTAAAGGTCCTGCCTTGGACTGAAGCATTCTCGAAGGACCTCGAATTTAGGCCGGCGGGAGTGAAACGGTTTTCACCTTTGCAGTAGCAGATGCAAATCCCACGACTCGATCCCTAGCCCTCACCTCACCCGTGTACAGTACCCCTGTGTGTTTGAACCCGTGACCTGCGTATTAGGACTTAGTTGTTGTCTATCGTGGGTCGATGTAGTTATCGGGTCTTGAACCCTAGGCCTGTCGAGTAGGGGTCATAGTTGTGTAGAGTCTGTAGGTGTAGCAATTCTGAAAGGTCAACGTCGAAAGGCCAAGTCCGCAGGCTTCTGGAAGGTCCAGTCTGTAGGTGTAGCAATTCTGAAAGGTCAAGGTCGAAAGGCCAAGTCCGCAGGCTTCTGGAAGGTCCGGAAGTGGCCTTTCGAACGTTGCTCACAATAGACTAGAGGCAAGTGGGCAAGTGGTGAGTCCAACTTTGCTTAGTCAGCGGTACCCAGTCCCAGTCTCACTTTGTCCAGTCAGCAAGTACCATGTGGGACTGTGTGTATAAAGGGAGCAGACCAGTGTCCAACAGAAGTATAAATCAAGAGGCAGCGACCAGCCATTCATTCATTCCTGCGTGAGCCATGCGGAAGCGCTGCCCTAGCGTCTTGTGCAAGGTGGTCTGCAGATTGCCCGAAGTCGAAGTGGGCAGAAGCGGAGTCAGAGCAGCCATAGCTGCTTGTAGTAGAGATAGCCAGCGGCCATAACTGCCATAGCTAGTGATAGGTACTTGTGTGTATGTGCGGACACAGAGTGAGTGTGCGTGGAGTATCCAAGGAGATCCAGAGTTGAGTGTGAGTGTGTGCGAACAGTTGGTCGGGAACACGAGAAGGGAAGGATGTTTGGCGCTGAGGCCCCATAGCCAGTTGAAAGCAAGTTTGTATCTGAACTGTGTTCTCTACTTGAATATCTCCAAGCTTTGTGTGGGCGCACAGCGCTAGTGTACATTTCCATCTGTTTGCATGCATGCGAGTTGAAGAAGAAAGTGAGTCTGATTGCATTCATCCTATCGATGGAAGTAGCCTCTCTCTATCTCTCCGCGTGCATGGCTGGAAAACTCTCTCTCTCTCTCACACACACACCCACACCCACACACACACACAAAAA